TGTAATCTCAAAAAGTTTCAGGCAGCATATTTCAACGAAAATATCCATTTTGACCGCTATCAAATGCAATTTGATGTTCTTGCATGATATCTGTACGTAAGGACAGAATAAAAGACTCTTTTTCTCAAAAAATTATAAAACTGCTTTAAAATGAATTCTGAAGAGAATTTTTTGTGGCATCTGTACAAACGTACGTACGTATCTCACATAGCTCAAAAATGAGTAGCCTCAGAACGTTGAAATTTTGTATATAGGACTGCTATAACATGTAGATGTGCACCTCGTATTTTGGTTGCAATCGGCCACACCAAACGTATATAAATGTATTTATATATATATCCACTCTGTTACCCGGCTCAGTGATCTCAGTTTCTTTACTCTTATATGTTTGTAAATTGTACATTTTTTTCTTTAACCCTTTCAGGAAGGACGTCCCATATACGCATTCCCTAAGAAACGTCTCTTACAGCCGGGCGTCCCATCCACACATTCCTAGAGACTGCATTCAGAGGACGGGTGATGCGTATACGCATTTTAAGCTGGAACATTTTTCTGAAGGCTACTAAGATGGCATTCTATGTCCATTACTTTTGAAATGAACACAGTTTTAGGTTCCTGACCTTGAGTTTAATATATTTTGTCTGACTTTGGTATTTCACTCATCAACTAGCAAAAGCGTAAACAGAGGTGGGCTCTAAAACGCCGCGTGCTAATGTAAATATTCACATGTCTGATTTATATCCAATTACTTTTTTAATTCTATTTTCCCCTCTGCTATATACGGTCTTTCAGGGTTAGTAGACAGGGTTAGTAGACAGTTTTGCATTGACTTCAGATATATTCCCGTTTTTTCTCTTTTTATTTCTGGGAGTCTCACCTCTTGTCTATTATGGGACGAAGGCGCTAGTTATCAGAGGAAGAATACCCTCGTATGGTTAATGAACCATTTACTAACGCAGATGAGAGTGATGATTCTTTTTCTAAAGATTTAAAAAGTGATACTTTTTCTAAGAGTTAGAAAGTGATACTTCTCCGTGCATCGAGACTCAGTCTTCATTTTAAATTTTGTTACTTCTTACTGTAAATAGGCTTTATTGTGTTTTTTTTTTTTTTTTTTTTATTAATTTTAGACTGTATTGATGGATTTTATCAATTAAAACTTTGGAATAATTTGAATAGCACTTCCGAAAATTATTTTACAAGGAAATTTTTAAGTATATTTTCATGTAGAATAAAGAAAGAAAGAAAAAAAAAAAACGTTATTAAGTGCTAATTTTAACATATATAAGACCTCAAGTAATAATCTAAAATGATACCAAAAATTATGAGGCTAGAAGTGAAACTTTTTTTTTCTGTTTTTTTTTATAAAATTAGGCTTAGCGATGCAAAACCTCCGTCCTGTACGGTAACTGCATTCGATTCCCTTCCCCACACGAGAGTCTTAAACAAAGGTGCGCTGTTGCGAAAAGGTTAAAAATGATTGAATTATGTTGTTCTTATCTTCTGGTTAAGCTTTTTATGCCTTTAATAAATCTGTATTCGATATTTTTAGAATTATCAACAATTTTAAATTTGTTAAGTGCTGCTAAGCCTAATAATTTTTTTGAAGGCGGCATTGCTTGTTTACATTTGAAACAGCAGAATAGTAGATTTGTTGCCAATCTAGAAAAACTTAGCTTCGCAACAACAAAGATAACGCCTTCATTTATTATTGCGAATTAAATCATGCTTAATCCTTTCTGGAATTTTTTCGAGGAAATAAGTGTTTAAGATTTACTTCATAATTTTTAATACAGATATTTTGAGTTTATGTATTTTTGCCTTGTCGCGAAGGGAGAACTGTAATTGAATGAGAAATACTCAATCGTCTGTTAAAAACTGTTTCCTTTTTGTTTTGCTTGCTTAATTTGTTTTATACAATTTTGAATAGAACGTGTGGCAACGATTAGGTAATTCTTTAACTGATATAAATTTTGTGCATTCTGAGCTATAATATGAACGAAATATAATACTGTTAAGTGAACCTAGCGCCAGAGTGTCGCTATGGTAAACAAATAGAGTGAATTTTAAAGAATGCATTTATTCTATTGTGGTTTATGCATTTTCGTCGAAGTAGATTTAATTCGATCCAATAAGTTTAAATGAAATGCAAGAAAAAATGCATATAATTTAATATTCTGTGCAAGGAAGTCATGGTGTACACATCAAAATTTTTTTTTTTTTTTTGTTTTCTTAAATGATGCAAGTAATAAAATGTTTTTTATGTGTTGCTTGCATTTAAGAATTAGTAACTATTTAAAGTTAATTCATTATTAAAAACTATATTTTTATCATCTAAAAAGTCTTTTTAACATTGTAAAAAATCTCCTGATTTTTGAGTGTCATAGGTTGGCAAGTATGCAGTGTATATTGACTTAAATCAACAAAGCAGACATTAGTTTTAGTTGTATTTTTCTCATCATATTTTTATTGTTTTAATGCATTTTGCATTATAACACTGGATGTGAAAAGTGAAATTTTTACATTTCCTAGTGTTTTCATATATTTCAAATACTTTTTCTATATTATTTGAACTTTAAGGTATTGTATTTTATCGTGAAGAGTTATCATTTATAAGTGAAAGTTTATGTTAAAGAGGAAAAGGCAATAAGTATAATAAGCTAGTGATTAGCCAGTAAGAAAAAAAAGAAAATAATTTGTCACATATAGATAAAAAGTAGTGTAATGTTAACCCTAAGCAGTATAATTTTTTTGGGAAAAAATTATAATAAGACAATTAGTATAAGAAAAATGGCAATAAAATGTTAAAAGAAGAAAAACTTTTTGTAACTGTACATGTAATGGGTTGTTGCAAATGAAATAGCCAGTTTTAAGGAGAATTGAGGGACAATGAAATGAATACCTATGTAATCAAAGTTATCTCCAGCACTATCAATGTGTTACTGCCAATGTGTGGTAAGATCATTTATAACATGTTTTTAAAAATCAGTCTCTAAAAATTGTGAAGTCCTCCACTGTGCAATAAACTGATGCACCATTATGATGATGATCCATTGGTGCATCTTACTATTCTCATGGGCATGAAAGTAGATCAAATATTAAAATAAAAGGGTAATGTATAGGAGTATAAAGGGTGAGGCACAATTTTGTACCTCAAAGTGTTGATTTGCTGTATGTATTCAGCATTCTTTTGAAACAATAAGATTCAATGTCTGTTCACAAGTGCTGGTTGTTTAAGGCAGTTTGTAACTACGTATCTGTAGACTATCGAATTGCTTTTATTACTTTTTTTTTTAAGAAAGAATAAATAGTGAGTAACACCACCTGAAGACCTCCATACAGTTAATGGCATCTTCGGATGAAAAGAGCCTCTGTAATGCTTCCTGCAGTGGCTTTCACTCCCAACCATTTTGACGAACATATATTATTGACACAGAATATTTACTTCTCATCCACAACCGCAATTGTAGCAATCATTTTTCTTTCTTAACAGGAAAGAACACGCTTCTAAAAAGTGCTTTGTTTCCATTGGTGAGATTCATCAAATATTGACTTGTTAATATTTTTAACATTTGCTGTTATTGTCAAGTGCCCTGAGATAGTTGAAAAGTGTGCATCTGGGCATTCTCTTATATAATTTATCATGGATCATTTTGTAGCCAAATATCTTGAGTCAGACTTTTTAAGCCGGGAGCGAGTGGGTCTCTCATTAGTTATTCCTTCAGCAAGAGTTTAAGGATTTTTTTTTTACTGCAGCCACTGCAAAATTTCCCAAATATGAACTTGTAAAGTTTTAGCAACTTTAATTAACTGGATTACATGATTTACTTGATGTTGGTTGAATTAAACATTTCATGCTCATTGATTAAATAAAACAAATTATGCAATTGGATCATATGTGTAACATTGACACAAGAAATAACAAAATTTTCATAAACCTCATTGTTTGTTTTCTGGTGTAACATCCATGTTGGATGCAGTATAACAAAAGTTTGCATAAACCTCAGCACTTGCTTTCATCTGCAACCAGCAGGAATCTTACTTCATTCAACCACCATTTTATTTGCAGTAACCCAATTTATGACAGACTTGTCTCTCAAAGTTAAACCATAAATAAAAAATATAGGTGAATTCATGCATTCTGCTTTTTCTGTACTTAAAAAGTTTTTGTCATGAACAATATAAGATATGCTTAGGCCTTCAAAAATATGATATAGCAATCTTATTAGTTATTGCATGCAAAAATGAGTTAATATTTTATATACCTGCGAAGTGTTTTGAACACATTATTTTTATTTACTCATTCAGTTATCTCATTTAGAATCATATTATCACTACATGAAGACCTAAGTATGTATGTGTACAATAGATGCCAACTGCCCTAATTTTACCTGGAGACTTGGGTTTTCAACTCGTCTCTCAGTAGACCATCGATTCTTCCAGTTTTTAGATTTTTAGCTCTTACTAAGGAAAATGTTTTCCAGCAATAAATGAATTTATTGGATTAATGGTGCTTAATTGTACAAATATCATTTGCCCACCCCTATTGATTGATTACTTTTAGCTATTAAATTTTATTTATTTAATCTAAATTGCATTTTTTTCTTATTAAATGTTATGATTTTTTTTAATTAATTTTTTTATTATATCTCAGTAAATAAAAATTTTTTCCCTCTTTGGGATTTTCTTGGTATAAAAGTAAAAGAATATTAAAAAATTTAAATAACCAAAGAACATAAAATTTAGAATATTAAAACATTTTACAAACAGAATCACGTTAATAACCCAATCCGTTATAAAGTGAATTTAAGTAAGTTAGCAGTTCTTTTGAAATGACATTGCTGTGTAGTGTGGAAATTGCCTGCTTTCTTCCGGTTTTCACGCAAAAAAGTTTTGGGATTTCAAGGTTGCCATCTACTATGTATATGCATTCATATTTATACATAAGATGACTATAAAGTAAGCTTTGAAAGCTATATAATAGTTCTTATATATTTTAGGATCAGACATTGGTTCTACCATGTTCAGTAGTCAGAATCTTTCAGGGACTGCCACCGTTGATTTAGCAAATAAGATAAGAGAAGATCCACTGTTCAATATAATGTAAGTATTTTTTGCTTATTGTTCATTTAGTGAATGAAAATGAAACATTGATTTTTAATTGGATAAGTAAATTTTCATGAAAAATTACTTTCTTGCAGATTTCAGCTCTATCACATCAAATAAGTTATGAATGCATTTTTACTTATTTTAGAAGATAAATTTATTGAGATTGAAATGATTTAAAAAAAGTTTTCATTGTTTGGTTTCTAATGTTAGTCTATTATATACATATCAGGAAAAAAGAAAAGGAACAGAGGAAAAATCTTTTGACTAATCCTGTGAAAATGAAACAATTACAGGAACTGGTATGTCAATGTCTCTCTTAATTTGTAGAGAAATTTATGCTCATTTTTGTGTGCCTTCTTTGTTATATCTGTAAATGTACACACTTTTTTAAAATCAGAAACTAAAACCTAAGCCAAAATATTCTTACTAGGATAATTCTTATAGGAATAACTGTAATTTAGATATATTTTAAGTATTAGACAATGTAAGAAATATACATAACTGAAATCAAATATAGTTCTAAATAAAAAAAATCAGCAGTTTAATTTTTTTGTCAATATTTCCATATAAATAAAAATTGACATAATTTTCTGGTTTGTAGTTCAGACCTGATGATCTAATACAACATTCCCATGTACATTTCCCCCTTTTTTACTTCCTTGTATGAAGGAAAGGAAGTATTGTAATCATGTTTTGTATCTGGGTACCATGTTTCAGTGAAAATATTAATTTTGACTGCTATCAAATGCAGTTTAATGATGTTTTTGCATGACATCTGTACGTTAGGACTGAAGGACAATTTTTTACAAAACAAACTCTAAAACTGATTTAAAATCGATTCAGAAGAGATTTTTTCACGGTGTCTGTACATACGTATATATGAATCTCGCATAGCTCAAAAAACAAGTAGCCTGAGAATGTTGAAATTTTGTATATAGTATTACTAAAACATGTAGCTGTGCACCTCCTATTTTGTTTACAGTCGGCCTCACCAAAAATATATAAACGTATGTGTCATATTTTTAATGCGTAGAAGACACTGGAACTCTTAACAGCTTTCGGTAGCAGTTCATGACTTATGGTTAAGGCATACAGATGAAGATAATGAATTTGATTTCGATAAATCACCAATCTTTATTTTCACACATATCCAATTAATTTGGCAGACACTTATTCAATCATAATTAAATAGGATAAATTGCTATGTACAATGGTTTTTTTTTAAAAGAAATGACGTAGGCATTTGGGATGGGGAAGCAAAGCAGCGTAGATGTTTGAGTGGCGGAAACTGGTAGATGCAATTATAAAGGCAAGCTATGATTGGTTAATTTGAGGTTGTTGTATAACATAGAAGGATCTCAGGTTTGGGAGAAGGTTGAATTTAGGGGGAGCACGAAATCTAGAATCATTAATTTTGAGCTCTCCAATTGTTTTTAAAGCAGCTATTGTAAGTACCTATTCTCCTCCCACTTCCAAATGGAAAGGTCAGGAAAGTATTAGTAAATTATCCAAGCAAGAGAAAGTTTGTTATATGAGGAAAGGCATGAGGAAGCATCAAGCACATAGCCTGTAGGTTTTCCTATGCTCCATCATGATTAATGACCTTTCTCATATACACACTGAGAATATACACATTATGAAATGCTGAACAGCTAATTTACAAGTAATGCAATTTCTAAAGAAACTAAATAAATTAATACAAACGTAATTTTTAAAGTCCTCAAATTATTAAAATGACCAATGTCCTTTGACTGTCCTAGTGAAAATTTTTTGTAAAGTCTCTTGATGAAAAAAGTTCCACTAGGTAAATGTTCAAATGTTTTCACAAAGTTAATGTTCACTAAAAAGTCTTTCGAATTTTTCTTGATGAAAATATTTCTATTATAATACATATTGAACTGCCAATTCTCATGTAGAAATATAATACTCAATTTGTGATTAATTGAATAAATTCTTCTTACTGAGGATAAACATACTTAATACAACAGAAAATTCAATATATAAAAAGAATAATAATATGATGCGATACTAAATAATACAATAATACTTTGACGATTAATTGGCATGTCCTCGTTAACAAAATCAGCGTTACATCTTGCTGGTGATTGGGGGATGCCTAAGTACAATAGATAAAAAAAAACCTCTGTTCCTTAGAAAAGGTAACTGACATTTTTCGGCATTGTACAGTTATCAAAGTTTTTGTATTTTCTTTCAAAAATCTTTCATATTGCTTAATAAAAATACAACATTATACAAAATTCAGACTAATTTAAGACAAATAATTCGTATAATCAAGTTAAAGTCTTTTTTAAATTTTGCAAAAATATAATGGAGTAATTAATACCTTCCAATAAGAAGAAACAAAAAAGAAAAATTTTGTTTTAAATTAATGTGTGTGTGTGTGGTAGTGCTTCTGTGCTAAACTATGGCCAAAGGATCGTGACTGGTAAAGAAAATAAAAATGACCCAAGTCACTCTCATGGTCATAGTTGAATCCCCTAACAAATAAAAAGAGGAAAATTTTAGGGACTGTTAGGAGTGTTCCTATAGGAACAGCAGGACGTGCTATCACTTCTTGTATCCTCCCTAAAGAGAGGATGCAAGGAGTAATAGTGTTAAACCTCATATCGGAAAAAGAATAAAAACATTTGTCTTTGAAGCAAAATCTGGTATTAAATCCGGATTTTCAAAAATGTTGTTTTAAGAGTTTTTCCTCTCCTCATCTTCTGGGCTATGGGGCACGTACACAACAAATTTTGAACAGAAAAACTCTGGAAAGAAGGAAAGGCAGCATAGGAAAGTAGCCAAACTGGAAAAGGTCAAAATCGGAAAAAATAAATTTTCATAATTAGGATTTAAAGTCAAGGTCAGGGTTTTTAAATGTCATAATCGGGGAAAGAATATTTTAATGCAAAATTTGGAGAACTAAAATAATTACATTTTGGACAGAGACGGGGATTCTACTATTTCTAACTGTTAATTTAAACTCACTAGCTGGATTAAAAGTCTGAGTCTGGTTGAATGAACAATTTCTGATTTCTTTTTAGTTAGAGGATTAGGCTTATCAGTTTCAAAAGTAACTTCAGAATATTGTTTTAAAATTTTATAAGAGCTTGAAAAAGAAGGAGAAAGTTTATGTGTATTAGGATATTGAAATTCTTCATACATTATTAAATCACCTATTTTAACCCCTTAACTGCCACGGAAAACCTACAAGATTCATTTCCCAGTGCCACGGTTTTTCACACAGCCGCGCGTAGTTATGCGATGTATTAGGGGGAAAATAAGTGCAAGTTTTATTTTCTAAAAACTGTTTACTTTCACAAAATAAGGAACAAAAGAAAAAAAAAAAAATTGAATGCACAAAATTTAATTCTTTGAGTAAAAGTATAATAAAAAGATGTAAGTATAATAAAAATGATGTTTTTATAATAAAAAATTTCCCTAAAATGGAGTTTCGATCAATTCATTTTTAGACCAGTAAAGTGTAATATTAGGTTCAGTAATATTAGGTTTCAGTGAACCTTGTGAAATCAGAATGCCTAAAAAAGCATATATTTCATCTGAAGTGGTTGAATGCCACGATTTTGTTCCCGATTTATCGTTTGCAAGGTGTTGGTTCATATACTCATCTACAGAAGGGTTAGTTTCAGTAACAATATGAAGCATGAGCAGTTCATCAAAAAATAATTCGAAAAAGATAAATGGGTTTGAAACATCCGTTATATCTTTCTTTATTCCTGGAACCTACTACAAAAAGTAAACAAAAACAGAAGACACAGAGTTAAAGACATTATCTAAATTTTGATTTTCTTTAATTTCGACTAATGATAATAAATTAAACTCAAATGTTTACAAACAGGATTTCTAGTTAATATATCAGCTTCAACATTAGTAACCCCCCCTTTTTTTATATATGATATCAAAGTCATCACTATGGCACGCTCAAGAAAAAAATCAATAATCATCTAAATTATCCAAATTTTCAATTTACAAACATAATATGCACTATAAATCTTAATGCAAATCATAACAAATATAAAAATTAAAAAATACGTTTTACTCAAACAACACCAGCCAATAACGTGCAGTCATTACTTTCACGGCTTTAGACACATCCCTCTCTCCAATTTCTAACCACACTTCTCTGAAATGGTATCCTCTTTCGCATACTTTGTCAAGGTCATTGTTGATGTTGCATTCCAAAGTTTTGCGAATAATTTTACGGGTAGCAGCACAAAGCAAATGATAGTATTTTGGAACGGCATATATATATGCTCGGAGGCAGTTAACGCATCGGCTGAGCAAGGTGTATATATACACCTGCGGCAGTTAAGGGGTTAAAATTACTGGTTTTATAATGGGTATCATATTGTTCTTTATTTACATTATGATATAATTATCAGACCTTTACTGAGCAATTTTTCTAGCTTCTCCAATTGGTGGATATATTTCTTGATTTTGAAGTAACAAATCATAAGATAATTTTCCATACATTATATATGATGGTGAGAATTTTGTTACAGAATGAGGAGTATTATTATATTCTTCAGTAACTTGATGTAATAATTTTGTCCATGAAATATTATCTTAATAAGAATTTAGTATGCATTTTAGCCTAATTATAATTGTGTGATTAACTCGGTCAGCTTTACCGTTAGCTTGGGATCTATTAGCAGTAGTTAATAATTGTTTTACGTAATGATCTTAAATTTTGAAGATGTAAAAGCAGCATTTCTATCACTTAAAATCTTTTTTGGTACTTAAATTTGAAAAATTTGTCTTAAAAACAATATGTGTATCAGTAGTTATACTTTTAGAATAAAAAGTCCATATATACTTAGTAGCATGATCGATTATAATGTGAATATACTTTTTAGTAGAATTATAATAATTTAATCCACCAACAGTATCAGTAGACAATATTTCAAAAGGTTCACTAACAGATGGTAAAGATTGCATAAAACCAAATCTTTTGTGTTACTTTTCTTATTGATTTGACATACTTCACCATGTTTACAGTAGTTTCTAACATCTTGAACAATTCCTGGCGAATAGTATCGAGGAGATAATAAATTTAGCATTGAGAAACACACCAATATGACCAAAATTAAGATGTTTTTTTTCAAGTAATTTAGTATGAAGAGATATTGGAAATACAATTTTATATAGTCCTTGCTTTTTAATAGTTAACACATCGGTAATTTTCTTATACATATGGTTAGAGACATTATGTAAATTTTGATTTTCTTTAATTTCGACTAATGATAATAAATCAAACTCAAATGTCGACAAACAGGATTTTTAGTTAATATATCAGCTTCAACATTAGTAAAACCCTTTTTACTGCCTTGTACGAAGTAAAAAGGAAGTATTGTAATCGCGAAAAGTTTCCGGCAGCATATTTCACGAAAATATCCATTTTGACCGCTATCGAATGCAATTTAACAATGTTTTTGCATGATATCTGTACGTAAGGACAGAATAAAAGACTCGTTTCCTCCAAAAAAATTATAAAACTGCTTTAAAAATAATTCTGAAGAGAATTTTTTGTGGCGTCTGTACGTACGTGCGTACGAACGTAAGTATGTACGTACGTTCGTACGTATCTCGCATAACTCAAAAACGAGTAGCCTCAGAACGTTGAAATTTTGTATATAGGACTGCTATAACATGTAGATGTGCACCTCGTATTTTGGTTGCAATCGGCCGCACCAAACATATATAAATACTATATTTATATATATATCCATTCTGTTACTCGGCATAGTGATCTCAGTTTCTTTACTCTTATATGTTTGTAAATTGTACATTTTTTTGCTTTAAAAATGATTGAATTATGTTGTTCTTATCTTCCGGTTAAGGTTTTTACACCTTTCGTAATTCTGGAAGCAATATTTGTACAATTATCAACAATTTAAAAGCTGTTTAAGTGTGGTTAAGTTTTAAATAACATGGCGGACATATTTGTTAACATTTGAAACATCAGAATTGTAGATTTGTTGCCAATCTAGAGAGACTAAGCTTAGCCAACAACAAATAACGCCTTCATTTATATTGCGAATTAAATCATGCTTAATCCTTTCTGAATTTTTTCGAGGAAATAAGTGTTTAAGATTTACTTAATTTTTAATAATTAGTAAATTTTTAATACAGATATTTTGAGCTTTTATGTATTTTTTCTTGTCGTAAAGTGAAACTGAATTAATTGAATGAGAAATACTCAATCGTCTGTGAAAAACTTTTGTTTTTGTTTTGTTTGCTTAATTTCTTTTTTACAACATTCTAGCTTATTTAGTATTTGAAAAGAACTGTGGCAACGATTAGATAATTCTTTAAATGATATACTTTTTGTGCATTCTGAGTTATAATATGAATGAATATAATACTGTTAAGTGACTAGTGCCAGAGTGTCCTATGTTAACAATAGAGTGAATTTTAAAGAAGCCTTTATTCTATTATGGTTTATGCCTGTCGGCGAAGTAGATTCAATTAAATCCAATAAGTTTAAAAGAAATGCAAGAAACAAATGCGTATAATTTAATATTCTGTACAACGAAGTCATGTGGTGTACACATCAGATTTTTTTTTAGTATATGATATCAAAGTCATCATTATGGCATGCTCAAGAAAAAAATCAATAATCATCTAAATTTTCCAAATTTTCAATTTACAAACATAATATGCACTATAAATCTTAATGCAAACCATAGCAAATATAAAATAATTCTTTACGCTGTCAATATTACTCAACTTCTTAGATATCAACAACTAAATAATATTTCAACTAAAACACATAATGTAAACAAGAGTTTACCCAATGAATTAACCAAACAAATTCGAAATTATCAGTTAAAAAATATGTGCGCATTGTGAGGCACAGTTATTGTTAGCAACTGCATCAATCATATTCGAATAAACCGCATGTACGACAAATGCGAGTAACGAAATGAATTTGTGAGTACCGATTCGGTACTTTTAGTCAACCGATACCTGTTTCTCGGTAATGAATACATGCAATTTGCTTCATCTCTAGTATGTAACATCTAAATATTTTTAAGTATTAATTTTTTTAAAGTACCTATCTTCATTTATAAGTTAACTTTTTACTAATATTTATTATATGTATTTATGTATTATATATATATATAGCTTAAAGCATCTCTCACAAAGGAGAGTAAAAAGAGCAAGAAGGAGAAGAAAAGGAAGCATAAGGATGAAGATTATGACAGTACAAAGCTTCAGGAAACAGACAAAAGACATAAATCAAAATATTCAAATAGTTCTCAATCAGATGATGAAAAAGTGCATTCAGATAGACTAAAGGTATCTATTATTACTCTTCAAAATGGAACTACCTTTAACATTAGTTTTCATGAAAACCATTGAATTTTTCATAATTAGGTGTCTTTATTTAATATTTTTTTATTGAATTTACTAAACAGAGGGTTTTTTTTTTTTTTTTTTTTTTTTTTTTTTTTGTGTGGTGTGTGTGTAATTCATCTAAATTTCTTAGTAGATATTTAAAGTAATGATAATATTTGACATTTAATAAACAGATTCCAAATACATATTTTAGTAATGTATTATGCACAGAATTTCTCTTCAAGACTGCATTTATTTACATTTGATAAGTTTAACTAAATTTAATAACTAATTATTCAAACTTTTGGCAGTATAATACTAGTTTATGGATGTTTTTGAATTTGCCTTACAAATGAACCTTCATTTATATTTGAATTTTTTGCAGCAAAATCTTATTTCTTGGCTTATACATAGATTAACTTATAATATTAAATTTATTATTTTAAAAAACATTAGAATTTTTAACACAGCATATGAATTTTTTAACCTCAGATTTTAGAAGTTAATCATTTAACTATTTTTGTAAAATTTAATTCTTTGCTAAAAATTTTGATTTCACAATTTTTATTAAGACCTTAATTTTTGTATTATATATTATCACAAAAACATAACAAAAATTAAGAGCTGATGTCTTACTTTTGTATTATATTAAAAAGTAATGCATAAAAGCACATATTTTAAAGAAAATATCAGAAAGGAATTATCAATTATTGGAGAAGTCAAACAATAAGAATCACCATAATATTTGTAAATTTTGCAGGACTAGTTTTAATGGTTTAACTATAGAACCATCTTCTCAGCTGTCTAAGTGCAAATAAATGAGATAAGATATATTGATAAGACTGACTGGGCAGAAGTTAAGCTACTAGTGCCACTATTGATAAAACAAGAAAACTAAAACATAATTTCCTTAAAGCCTAAAGGAACTAAGGTTGTTAACTAGAACAGAAACATTTTTTTTTTTTTTGAATGTGAAACATGTGTAGAAAATCTAATTCACCAATATAAGATGTGATGTTTTTACATTAATTTTGGCTGCAGAAAAATGGAAAGTATGATTCTCTGACCAACAGTGCTGGTCAATAGAGAATTTCTGTTTTTTTCTTTTTCCTAGCATGCACCTTATGTTCTTTAATGTGAAATTTTAAGGCTGTCTTAGTATGACCAATGTAAATTAAACCACACTGGCCAGGAATCCTGTAAATACCTCAAGAATTCATATCCAGAATAGGGTCCGGTCCTTAAGTATGGAACTGGAAATTTTTTTGATAGGAGAAAAAATGATCGGAAATTTAAATTTCTGTAAAATACATGCAATTTTTTAACTTTTTAATTTACAAATATTATGCTGATTCTTGTTGTTTGACTCTAATAATCATTACTCAGTGTGTTACTTTAACCTGAAGATAAGATGTTATAATTAAGAAAATTACTATTAAGAAGTTACTCTTAAGAAGATTTCTTAATAAAATCTTGTTAAGGATAATTGCTAATGATGTGCTGTGGTAAAGCTAAGCTAAGCAATAAAAGTTGCTATAGCTAAGTAAAAGTACTGGACGTTGGTTGTTCGACACACATTCAAATGCTGGTGAACAAGCTGACTCTGTGGCAGTTTTCATGCTGCTTCCATATCTAACATGAATATAAGCCAGTTCCAGTTTAAAGACCCTTCCATGAAGGCATTCTTTCCCTATGTATGCTTTGCTGTAATCAGAATAAACCATATTAAACTAATAAAATTAATTATGGACTGATGTGGTGGCACTTTTCAAATTTAGCAGAAACAATTCATTAGTGCTGTATTGCACTCATATGATTAAAATATTTAATGTTTTTTTTTTTTTTTTTTTTTTAAATTTAACATGTGTAAAAGTAAGTAGACTTGTGTAGTAACTAATGTGTAGGAGTAAGTATTGTAAAAGTAAGTAAACTGTAAAATTTTGTTTTAAACCGTCTAGTTGAAGCTTTGTTTAATAGAATTGTAATCATGAAAACTGCAGTTGCTACCTCCATTTTCTGTACAAAGGGATCACTTTTTCTTGAAACCGATGTTTTACTTTACAATAGCTATTTAAACATGCTATAATACTGATCTAAATTGTATTAATTGATTAGCTGTGGATCTCATATATACCAACAGAAAATGAAAACCCAGCACTGAAAAAGAAGTAGAGGAAAACAGAATTTGGGTTTTATGTTTCTGTAGGCTCCATATTTTTTTGGGGGGGGGAGATGACGTCCTGTATAGAAGATACAATCATCTTAATCTTCCCCCCCCCCATTCTTAAGCTTTTTTGCATAATAAATTGATCAAAACAGTTTATTTTATTAAATACTGAATTGCACTTATTTTTTGCTTTTAAGGCATTGAACATTTAAATGATTTTAAAACTAATTTAATCAATTATTATAATTATAACAATATAAATTTCAGTTTAAGTTAAAACTTCAGGTGATAAAGCAGAAACATTCATTAGTGCTGTATTGCACTAATATGATTAAAATTTTAACGTTTTTTTTTTTTTTTTTTTTTTTTAAACATGAGTAAAGTAGTAGACTTGTGTGTAACTAATGTGTAGGAGTAAGTATTGTAAAAGTAAGTAACTGTAAAATTTTGTTTTTAAACCTCTAGTTGAAGCTTGTTTAATGGAATGTAATCATGAAACTGCAGTTGCTACCTCCATTTTCTGTACAAAGAGGATCACTTTTTCTTGAACGATGTTTTACTTTTTACAATAGCTATTTAAACATGCTTTAAAATACTGATCTAATTGTATTAATTGATTAGCTGTGGAATCTCATATATACCAACAGAAAATGAAAACCCAGACTGAAAAGAAGTAGAGGAAAACAGAATTTGGGTTTTATGTTTCTGTAGGCTCCATTTTTTTTTTTGGGGGGGGGAGATGACTTCCTGTATAGAATATATAATCATCTTAATCTTCCCCCCCCCCATTCTTAAGCTTTTTTACATAATAAATTGATCAAAACAGTTTATTAAATACTGAATTGCACTTATTTTTTGCTTTTAAGGCATTGAACATTTAAATGATTTTAAAACTAATTTAATCAATTATTATAATTAAAACAATATAAATTTCAGTTTAAGTTAAAACTTCAGGTGATAAAAGTTTTTAAAATTTGGTTTGCCTATCAGATTAAGTTACTTTTAGCATTTTTTCAAACATCTCAAGGTCTGAAATTGTACTATTTTCTTTCATTTCCTCTTTAAAGATCTGATATTATTTTGAATTTTTGAATTGAAAGGCTTAATATACCGTTTTGAATTTTTAAAAACAATTATTAAATTTTTTTCATTTTAAAAACTAGTAATGTAGGTAACAAGATTAACATGTTATGATTAAATGCAGTATTCTTTTCTTCTAGTATGGAAAAACATCTGAAAATAGCAGTATTTCACACAAAAGGAGGCATATCGATGAAAAAAGTAGCTATAAAAAATACAGTGATTCTAGATGTAACAAAGTGTATGTGTCTGATTTAAAAGTAAGGAATTCAAAACATAGTTCCTCTTATTACAAAGAATATAATTATAAAGAGAGTCGTCAGAAAAAATATGAATCAAGTAATTCGCAAGAACGAGACCATACTTCTAAAGAAAAGTATAAGAGGTAAATATTTTTTAAGGAATACTTTTTTAATACACAGATCATACTAAAAGGCTTTGTACTTTGTTTTACTATTAATATACCATATTAAAATTTCAATTAACATGGCATTAAATTTCAATAAATTTTTTGATTAAAATATCAAACATTGCTTTACTAAAAAAGGGAGTGGGAGGCAGAAATTTGTTTTGATATTTTATTCATAGATGTAATATTTATTTGCTTGCATTAAAAACAAGACACTCATTAAAATTTTTTTGTATGCTTTGTAAAAAGCATTTTTTAAGGTTGATTTAAAAAATAAAGAAAGAGTAAAAATTTTTATCTATATTTATTTTGTAAGTTCTTTTTTTTACTTCTTCACTACTGTTATTAATGCTGATATTAGTTTTTTTTTTGGGAGGGGGAGAACAATTTTAAGATATTTTTTTTTTTTTCTTTCTTGATATTGTTGAAAATGAGATTAACTTCTATGTTTTATTTTTTAATTATTTCGGATTTGTTCATTCACATTTAGCAGGTATGGCTGCCCTTGTTGTAGCATTCTACAAAACAAAATGACTGTGTAAAGTGAACAGACCATTTGTTTTTAACAGATAAATTTCCAAATTTTACATGAAATATTTTTTTAAATATATTTTAATGTGATCGCAGTTAATGGTATAATTTGGATATTGGTACTTAAGTGCAGAAGTCCCACCCTTTTATATACGAAAACACTGAAAATACATTGTTTATTGTGATCAGCAGTTCAGTTAATATAATTAAAATATTATAAAATAATTTTTTTTAACTGAGGGTAATGTTAAGACACATAACACGGCGAACAAATATAATTCAGAATCAAACACAAAAGCGCGTTATATTTTCAAATTTTCACAGGATTAGTTTCGATGGTTTTACCGAACCTTCATCCTCAGTTACAAAAGCGCAAATGCACGATTATTCTTATCTAACCATTATACGATATAATGATTAGATAAGAAAGCCTGGACAGGAGATAAGCTACTGGCGCCATCTGTTGATGAAACCAGAACTAAAACATAATTTTTTGAAAGGCTGAAGGCAAAGATCGATTGGAATTAGGGTTGTTAACTAGAACAGAAAGATTTTTTTGAATGTGAAATGCCTCTAGAAAATCCAGTTCACCAATGGAAGATGTTTTTTGAATAATTTTGGCAGCAGAAAATTGAAGTGTGATTTTCGACCAACAATGTTGGGCAACAGAAGACTTCTGTTTTTTCCTTTTTTCTAACCTGTGCCTCATGTTCCTTGATGCGAAATTTTAAGGTTCTCTTAGTTTGGCCAATGTAAATTAAACCACACTGGCAAGGAATCCTATAAATACCCCAGGAATTCATATCCAGAATTGGGTCCTTGAGTACAGAACTTGGAATTTTATTGATGGGAGAATAAATGACCCGAAAGTTAAATTTCTGCAAAATATGTGCAACTTTATAGCTAATTGATGGAAAGAAGGGAATGACAATAGAATTTTTATAATGTCCTAAAACAAGAGTGTGTCTTTTAGTGTATTGAGATGATAATTTTTTAACTGCTTGATTAATAATGTTGGGTGAAAAGCCCCTGTCAATAGCTATTGCTTTTAAATAATTTAGTTTTTCATCAAGGGATAGTTTAGAGGAGCAAACTTGAAGAGCACAGAAAATATAGGAATAAAATGAAGCTAACTTTTGTTTAGTCAAATGACATGATTTAAAGTGTGGTGGAAGGCAAACCGATGAAGGTTTATGTTAAACCGTAGTACTGAAGTTGGATGTGTTACGTGTGACCAGAATATTGAGAAATGGAAGAGAATTGCGAGTCTCCAGTTGAAAAGTGAACTGAATAGCAGGATCAATAGAATTTATTGTAGAAAGAACTTTATTTAAATCATGTTTATTACTTTCAAACAGGGTAAAAGTATCGTCTACTTAGCGGAACCATACTGGGAAGTTTAAAGTTTCAAACAATTTTGATTCATAATGCATGTAGATATCAGCCAGGATGAGACTGAGGGGGTTTCCCATGGCTAATCCTTTAGTTTGCTTGTAATGTTTATTTTGGAAAACAAAATGTGTTTGTTTCAAACAGAGTCGAGTGAGAGGAATTAGCTCGTCAATTTCGATGAATTGAAATTTTGATCAAATGAAATTCACGAAGTCTGGTTTCTGGACATCTTAATGCACCCTCCACTGGAATATTGGTGAATAATGATTTTGCATCAAAAGAAACCATGAGTAAATTTCTTAGAGAAATGTTTTTAACCTTTTTAACAAAATCTATTACATTTTTTATGGTGTAAATGTTATTGTCTAATAGTGTTGAAAATCTAGAAACTAAATATTTAGCTAACAGAACCTAAATTTGATACAATAAAGGCGGAAAGGAATACCACTTTTATGAATTTTGAGAAGAGCATATAATATGGCACAATTTGCAACAGATGGGATAAGCGAATGTTTTAAGTTGCGTGAAAGGATTTGTGCAGATTTGATTGCAGTTTTTATTTTTGAGAGGTCCGAAGGTGAAGGATCTTTAGGGATCAGATTATATGGTCCTTCGTTTAAGAGTTTAGTCCATCAATGTAAGTGTTCTTATCCATGACGACTATCTGGCCACCTTTGTGGGCCTTTGAAATGATAATATCCGGGTTAGAATGAATTTCGCGCATTCTAGCTCTTTCTCTCATGGTTAGATTTGGTTTCAAAGATTTATTATAGAATTTCACATTATGAGTGATAAGATGCCTAATCATTTCTTTCTGTGAATCTGAAACTTTACTGAACTTGAAAACTTAATTATATTTTAGAAGTTAAAGTTATATTTTAGAATTCTCTTTTGTTCTTCTGATAAACTAGCATTAGAAATATTAACTATTGGCTTAATGTTTGCAATGGGAAGATTTTTTGAAGTACTTAAACTGGTAGACTGTAAAAGTAGTTTTTCAAATATAACTGCAAGGTTTTTTTTATGACGGTTAACTGCATTCTCCATTCTAGACCAAGACTTTTTTTCAAGGGCAGTCAATTTTGGATATGAATTAGTTCCAGATGAAGCTTGTCTCCTGTCCAGGATTTCTTATCTAATCATTATATCCTATCTTGTTCATTTGCGCTTTTGCAGCTGAGGATGATGGTTTGGTGTCCTTTGAAATTTTGAAAATATAATGCTGATTTTTTGTTGTTTGACTTCTGAATTAGTGAAGTAATGTTATCAAATAAGTTTAAAATGCAACATAAAAATTGCCATGTTACAGAAAAGTGTCATAAGGGATTAAGTTGCTAAAATCTTGGTTTCAGTTTTAGTCAACCATTTAAAATTTTGCAGTAAAGCAACCTTAGTTTGATGTAGATTTTCAATAACTATCAATTTTGAGGGGATCAGATACAAGTTCTCACTCCTTCAGAAGCGAAAAAAGTTTGCAGAATTTTTTTTTTTCTCCTGAAGACATCGGCGGCAAACTGAAATAGCTTTTTTGCCTAATTTAAAATTTTACATTTGCAAGCTGTCTTCGAGTGAGGAAAGCCTTTAGTATGTTAAGATTAGTGGCACAGCATTTGTCAGATATCTCAGATGATATGAATGATTCATAAATAAACTTTTATAACCAAAACTACCATAAACAAAAGACTCACCTGGCCTTTTTAATTAGCTCTAATTTAAAAAAACAAAATTAAGATAAAATGTTTCAATTAAGAGTGTTATAACTACACATTAAAAATACAAAATAGATCTCGGGATCCATGAATCCAATACATCGACTGAAAGCTATAGTCGTTTTTTGGGCTGGTGTTTTTTCTTCCGGCGGCCACTAGGTGGCACTCATTGAGCTGTGGGGTTACACTTTTATATTTTTCTAATTAAAATGCTGCGAAAGTATGTATTTATATGCTTCTAGTTATATTTATATTAAATTAATTACATTTCATTGCTATTTTGAAGGACTTTTTCGCATCGTTTGGTTAACATTATCAAAATGGCCATGGACAAATGTGATTACATTAAGCAGTGCTTACTGTAGTGATATCTTAAAATGTTGATCTTCTCTCAGTAGTTGTTCAGAATGAATCTATGTGCTTGTTGATTTATGCTAAAAAACAATCCTTAACAGATTAAATAGGAATTTAAACACTGAATTTCATTATTCAGAAAATTTTATTATTCATTAAATAGGAATTTAAACATTGAATTTCACTATTCGTTATGTAAATTGTGGCAAGAATTGATAAATGTGAAGCATTGGCAAACATAATAAAGCATTCTTAGCTAGGAGGTATATTAAAATAAGCGTGAAATAAAATTTGATACAAAATTTTTACTTCAACATGTTACATAGTGCCCAGCTAAAACTAGTGAGACACATTCAAACAGTATTTGTGAAGACTACTTTCATACTTCAAAATAAATAACTCCTCCCATCTTTTGTTACTGGGTAAAAGTCACTCCCTGACAAGTTACATTTCATAAACACAATCATGCCTTGGAAATTGATAAGGAGAACGTAAAGAATTCAAAAATAACCTCAGCAAATATTGCCATAATATTAAACAACACAATATTCGAAATTTGTCCTTTGTGTGCCCTCGCATACAGCATAGTCTTTGTTGCCATTTAACAAATTATATGACCCTTAATTTATCTTTTAATTAATCTGTTATTGATTAACAAACTGATTTAAGAAAAATATACAATTTTTAATAATTTTAATCTTAGATTTTTAATAACGTAATTAATATAAATTAAAATATTTTAACTTATAACCTAAACAACTGATAATTTTTATGAACATTTGAAGCTTTGTTGTTATTTAAAAAATAAATTTCTGATACCATATCATGTAATTGAGATATAAGAATAAGGTATGTGTTTATTTTTATCTACTATTGTTGGTATGAATATTTTTACATTTAGAAAAATGTATGAAGAAGAAAGAGATAGGCGTTTGAAAGAAATGCAAGAAAATGCGAAATGGAGGGAGGAACAAAGGAAGAAAAATACGAAACGTTACAGGGAAGAAGATGAAAAGGAAGACAGAATTCAGAGAGTACATACCTCAGAATTCATAAAGTAAGTCTTCAACTGTTTCCTAACATTTTATTTGGATCTTGCAATTATCAAAAATACTTAATTGTGTAAATAAGAAAGTGCAGATTAACCTTTTCTGTGATGACAGCTGCCACTTTATCAGGAAGACTATCACTCATTTTTGAAATACTGCATTTGGAATTTTATGTCATTCTTGCAAAAGAGGAGGGGTCATTTCTTTTATAAATGTAAAGCAGCATGGGATGCTTTCCAAGTGATGTTTCAGTTCATCCCATTGGACTCTATAGGATTAAGGTAATATACCAAAGCTATTGACAGGCTAGTTCAATTTTTCAGTATTCATGTCAACACAAAAGCTCTGCACAGCATGTACCATAAGAATGGATGATTGAATTGAAATAAAATTGGATGCATACCAAATATTTGCCATAATGCAACAATTTAGAATTGCCCAAATATCAAGATAGATTTCTATATTCATTGTTTCCTTCAAAGGGATAAGGAGGAAAAATATTCTTAACATAATAAAGGTGGATAAGTATTACTCATGCAGCATTCACTCAAACATACCCATCCGATTGCTAGACAGTATGGCAAAATATGTCGCTCTAATGCATTGCCATTACTCGAGGTTTTTGCGACATCATATGAGGTGTTCAGCTGATTGTGTCGTATTTAATTTATATGCAGCTGCTTGGCTAGGGAAGGCTAACATTTGGAGCCCTTGGTAAGTCGTCTTTGTGGTAGTATTTATATCCAAATGAAATTGCACAAAATTGTCATTTTCTATTCATTAAGCATTCATGTCTGAATAATAAGTCATAGTATCTATCTTCAGATTTCCACTTCACTATGACATCATTTACTCTGCAATGGGGAATATATTAACATTGCAGAAAAATTTCGAACTTACTTCTTTATAAAATTTATTGTATCTTTGTTTGCAGTGACTATTGTAAACTTGCAGATCTCTTTTCATTATTCCAGCTATCATGATGTTAGTGATAAAATCTGCTTTCTGCCAGGGATTTCCAGAAGTTTGATCATATAGTGTACATAAAGTGAGATCAGATGAGGGTTGATAGACAATAAATATATATTTCTTTCTCCAAATATGTGAATAATGATTATACCACTTAGTTGTAATTCCATATACTGTTTTATTATTTAAGTTTCTTAGCATTGAAGGTTATAAATCTGTTCAGAATATTTTTGAGTATTCATATGTGACTTTGCTATTCTTCAATTATCTTTTTATATTTGCATTTTAAAAATTTAAATATTAAATAAGAATAAAAAGAAACTCTAAAATTGCATTATGTATCAGTTAAAGAATGTGTATCATGCAGAGTGTGAATATTTTATTAGCATACTGGATAAATAACTACTTGAGAAGTTTAGTTAAAATAGCATGTTGAACAAATATTAATTAGTGGTAAAACAACAAAAATCAGTGTTAAATTTTCACAGGACTATCGCCCATAATTTGAAATTCATCAAAAAGCCTTTGAAACCAAATCTAAACGTGAGAGAATGAGTTATAATGCGTGAAATTCATTCTAACCCGGACATTATCATTTCAAAGGTTGAAAAAGGTGGCCAGATAGTCGTTATGAACAAGAAAACACGTACATCGATGGTCTCACTAAACTCTTAAACTAAAGACAATATAATCCAATCCTTAAAGACCCTTTGCCTTCAGACCTCTCAAAATTAAAAACTGCAATCAAATCTTTACAATCCTTTCAACCAACTTAAAATAGTTGCTTATCCCATCTTTTGCAAATTGTGCCAGATTATATACTTCTGTGCCAGATTATATATTTTTCCCAAAATTCATAAAAGTGGTATTCCTTTCCGCCAGAAACCAGAAGTTCAGCGGGACCGGGCCCCGACGATTTTATGCGCCCTCGCTGGACTAATGTAAATGTATGATAGCCAGAGCGATTTACTTACTCTTGTCAAACGGCGATATACAGCAAGTACTGTCTGACCACGTATTCCAGATCTATGTAAACATCCGGTTTGGGGCGGAAGTGGGCACATCTATCAGTTATGTAGGGGTGAGTGCAGTAGCCCGGTAGACACTAAATGTCCCCTGACCTTCGATTTCACCCACACCCCTTCGACCTTCGAGAGGGAAAAATACCCGCGCTTTTCGCCCACACACCCCTTCAATTAAACTGACCCATCTTGGCCCTCAGCCAAACTGCTCTCGCTAGCGTGGTTAGACAGTAGTCAGTTGAGTTTAGGATTGTGCATAGATTAGCAGTTTGCTAACCTTGAGCGTATCTAATAACACGCACGTATTTTTTGTTAGTGTGTGATCGTATTTCGAATAGACCACGCGTAGACCGTGCATTTAAAACTACCAAGTAATCCGAAATAATTCTTTTCTTTCAAAACCCTTCATGGATAAATGTAAAAGAAAAAGAACATATTATTTTAACGATGAATGGGAACATCTATATTGTTTCGTTGATTACAAAGGGAAGTGTATTTGTTTGTTGTGTAATAATAGTGTTGCGATTCCCAAGAAAAGTAATATTGAACGACATTTTAAGACCGTTCATACCAATTTTGATAGTGACTATCCAATGAACTCTGAAATTAGAAGAAAAAAAAATTTCTTTAAAATCTTCAATAACTAACCAGCAAAGTTTTTTTACTAAACCACTGCAACAACATAAATCAGCAGCTATCGCGTCATATAAAATATCGCATTTGCTAGCTAAGAATAAAAAAACCATTTACAGATGGAGAATTAGTGAAAGAAGCCATGTTAGAAGCTGCTGATTCACTTTTTGAAGAATTTAAAAATAAAAAGGAAATAGTTTCAGCTATAAACACGTTGCAATTATCAGCACGAACTGTTACTAGAAGAATTGAAGTAATTGCGGAGAATTTGGAGGCAGAATTAGCAAATGATATGGAAAATTGTATTTTCTTTTCGCTACAGATGGATGAATCGGCAGACGTGACAAATATATCACAATTAGCAATTTGCGTGAAGATGGTATTTTCTGATTTTACAACAAAAGAAGAATTCCTTAAAGTTCTGCCATTAAAGGGAAGCACCAGAGGAGAAGATATCTTTTCTACTTTTAAAAAGTATATAACAGATGTAAAATTACCTGTACAAAAGTTATCGTCAATTACAACAGACGGGGCACCAGCGATGACTGGTAAGAAAAAAGGATTTATTGCCTTATGTAGACAGGATTCCTTATTCCCGAAATTTATTTCTTATCATTGCCTCATACATCAGGAAATGTTATGCGCAAAAACAATCGGTTTTCAACACGTATTTACGATAGTAACAAAAAATTATTAATTCCATAAGATCGGGAGCTATGCAACACAGATTGTTTAAATTACTTTTAGAAGATGAGGACGTTCAGTTCACAGATCTTCTTTTACATACTGAAGTGAGGTGGCTGAGCAGAGGTAAAATACTTGAGCGGTTTATCATGCTTTTGCCACAAATAAAGGAATTTATTGCATCAAGAGGCGAATTTTACGAGCAATTAGAAAATAAGGATTGGCTAATCGACCTCGGATTTCTGACAGATATAACGGCAAAGTTGAATGAATTAAATTTAAAAATACAAGGGAAAAATCAGCATATCGCTGACATGATTAGTGCAGTAAATGCATTCAAATGCAAGTTAGTGTTGTTGAAATCCCATCTATTGAAAAAATCATTATCACATTTCCCAAATATAAAAATATACTGTTGAGAATTTAAATTTACTGTTGAGAATTTAAATTTGAATAATGAAAATTCTACATCATATTTAGAAATTATAGATAAGCCAATAGAAGAGTTTTCTTCTAGATTTGAAGATTTTGCAGCATTAGAACCTTTTCTAAGATTTTTCATAAATCCATTCAATGTTACTGAAGATGATGTCCTTGAAATAGTTTCAGTGTATTTCGAGCTTCATAATATCGAAGACCTAGAATTAGAAATAATAAACTTGCAAAGTGATATTATTTTAAAAGCGCATAGTAATGATAAAATGTTTTGGAACTTAGTCGATGAAAATAAGTATCCTATTTTAAGGAAATGTGCGCTAAAAATTTATTCATATTGTGCAACAACATACAATTGCGAGTCTTTGTTCTCAAATATGAAATATTTGAAATCAAAATACCGAACAAAGCTTAATGACTCACATTTAGATAATTGTTTAAGGACCGGGAACTCTAAATATATCCCCAATTATAAGAAATTAGCTGAAAATATGGACACCCAAGTTTCACACTGAATTATATGTATCATTATGTATGAC